ATACACCATAATTAAAAACCATGACTTTCTCCCTAATGACACTTGGTCATGATCACTATGTATGGGGATTATATCGGATTAAATGATCAAATAACAAATTAATAACTGAAAGGGTGTAAATCTCTAATAAGGTGATTATCTTTTAATAAATCATTAACGAATATAATTGCAAACACGATATTATATTATAAGCATATCACACTTTGAAGGAAGGATGAGGATAATGCAGTTCACAGTCTCATCTGAACTGTGATGTCGTCAACCTTTAGGCAAGACAGTGATGGAGTGACTAACAGTGAATGTGTTTTCTTTGTTGGGTCATATATATATATATAATATATATATATATATATATATATATATATATATATATATATATATATATATATATATATATATGTAATATAACTAATCAACGAACGTCACAACTCGTGAAGTATTCGGAAGGAGCAAGAACCTCTAACCAAACTGCACGTATCCTGAAGAAGAAGAAAGACGAAAGTCAAAGCAACTGTAGACCTTCTTGATGCAGATTAGTGTCTCACAAACTTGGAATATACCAAGCAATTAGAGATGAAAGATGAACAGACATCAGTGTATCTTTCAAAAACTCTTGAATCATTGTAACGCAGATGATTTCCTCTGGGTTTATTTTTAACTATAATTTGTACATATATGGTTGAATATATAACGTTATCTATAGTTATAAGTGACAAAGAATATTTTTGAGATGTTTCATTAATCCATTGACGTAATATTCTTTAATATATGATGTTGTTTCAATATATATATATATATATATATATATATATATATATATATATATATATATATATATATATATATATACATAAAACAATAGTTGAGATTCGCAACTAATAGAGTAATTGTAACCATGAGTCAGCTGACAAAACATATCACCATGTTTTTCTGTGCTTCTTGTGGCGTTGCTGTTTTGTGAACGACTATCACTAACAGGTTACCTAAACGAATTCTTTACAATATATTTTTATTGCTGTTGTTGTTCCTAACGTGGACTGAAATTTATTAGCATACCTTTATTCTGTTCCTGTGTGTGTGTGTGTGTGTGTGTGTGTGTGTGTGTGTGTGTGTGTGTGTGTGTGTGTGTGTGTGTGTGTGTGTGTGTGTGTGTGTGTCTGCCTGTCTTGTCGGACTGGTGTAAAAACTGACATCTTTGTATATTGTAATTTGGTAAATCTAACGATTTATTCCCCTACTCAGGAGAGTTTGGGAATAAATCGTTCCTGCCACTCTCCTGAGTGGTGGGAACGATAAAAAAAAAAACTGTGTTTTAGTCACAGGACTGGTTACTGTCAGTCAGTTTGCATATAAGACTTTCAGCTAATCAGTTGATCACAAAGTTTGCCAGACACACAATCACCTTGTCAAACAGTCATTTTCAAAAGCAATTTTATATTAGACAGTAATAAACAAGATCCACCCAATCGAAAATTAATACGTCAGCCCATTACGTTACATTCAATTAGTCAGAAAGCTGTTAGTGAAAGTAGCCTCTTAGTTAATTGGAAGACAGATATTTATTTAGTAAGTCACAGTCAGTCAAGCAAATACTTAACCGTTTAGTCAGTTGTATTTCATACAATCAGTCACTTAGCCAGAGTCAGTTAACAGCCAATCTAACCAGTTAATAACTCAGTCCTCAGTTAGATAGCCAGTTACCAGTCAGACAGCCGAGCAGGTAGTACAACAATACACACAGACATGCCATCATTTATTTCAGTTTTTTTCACATGCTTTATATAGTTTACCCATCATAGTAACCTTGTGACCGTGGACGGCGTCAGATTCGCGGTCAGGGACGTGGGGTCAAGACTGGAGAGTTGGAAACGAGGAACTACCTCGTACCAACTCTTAAACGACGCTACGCTTCACGCTTTTAAGCTATGAACTCGTTTAACGCTTCGTTTTGTATCATTTACGGTGTTTGCTCCAGTGGCGTGGGAGGCTGTGTGCGCATGCGTCAGTGGTAGGTAAAAATATTCTTAAGAATTCTTGTAAAAACAGACCGACTTGACTATTGAAGTGCGATGGTGAGATCTTGTGTGTTTTTTTTTTAAATTCATCAACAGCTGTAGACTGAATGCGCAACTCAGCATTCATCAACAACTGTAGACTGAATATGTAACTCAGCCCTCATCAATAACTGTAGAATGAATGTTCTACGCAGCATTCATCAACAGCTGTTGATTGAAGTGGCTTTCGTAATATAAGAGGCCGATTAACATGTGCTATAGAGCGATGGGTTGTTGGGAGAATACTAACTGCACTGACGGAGCTACAATTCACCTGAAGATCTTGTCGAAGGGTAATCGCCTCTTCGGCCCTGGTGCTGGTACCCACACGTTGTTGTGAGTAGCGGTACTCACACGTTGTTGTGAGTAGCGGTACTCACGTTGCTGTGAGTAGCGGTACTCACACGTTGCTGTGAGTAGCGGTACTCACACGTTGCTGTGAGTAGCGGTACTCACACGTTGCTGTGAGTAGCAGTATTCACAGTCACCGTCAAGGTTTACAAAAGGCTGGTCTACACAGGCTTGTATTGCCCTACATTTGAGTTATGATTGTGAAACAGAAGAAAAAAGTTTACCATTCCCTACACAAACCCCAAACAAACTGTTGTTTCTGTATATTATAAATAAAAGCGGATTTTATATAGCAGTTTGGGTTTCATTCTCCTGAAATTTCCTTGACTTGTTTACTTCAGTGTTTGGATTCCCCACAGCTGTTGTTTACTTCAGTGTTTGGACTCCCCACAGCTGTTGTTTACTTCAGTGTTTGGACTCCCCACAGCTGTTGTTTACTTCAGTGTTTGGACGCCCCACAGCTGTTGTTTACTTCAGTGTTTGGACTCCCCACAGCTGTTGTTTACTTCAGTGTTTGGACTCCCCACAGCTGTTGTTTACTTCAGTGTTTGGACTCCCACAGCTGTTGTTTACTTCAGTGTTTGGACTCCCCACAGATGTTGTTTACTTCAGTGTTTGGACTCCCCACAGCTGTTGTTTACTGCCATCTGACCTTCCAGGGGCCACATAGCCATATGGCTTGTGAATGTCTCTTGATCCAAGGGATTCGAGATAATCTCTCTTCATCGAATCAAACCTAAAAGCCTCCTCTTCCCCAGCCGTTTTATAACATATATGGGTTTATTGAACTTCACTAATATACTACTACTACTAATAATAATAATAAAAATAATAATAATAATAATAATAATAATAATAATAATAATAATAATAATAATGCTATTACTGCTATTACTACTACTACTAATACTACTACTACTGCTGCTACTACTACTAATACTACTACTGCTACTACTACTACCGCTATTGCTAGTACTACTACTACTAATAATAGAAATAATAATAGTATTATTATAATTATTATTATTATTAAATTGCAATAATATACTATTACTGCTGCTACTACTACTACTACTACTACTACTACTACTACTAATAATAATAATAATAATAATAATAATAATAATAATAATAATAATAATAATAGTGACAATAATAATATATTATAATTAAAATGTAATAACAATAATAATAATAATAATAGTAATAATAATGATGATAATAATAATCTAGCTAAAACACTAAACTTAAGAACTTTTTATCTCCAATCTGTGTAAATTAGATCATAATCTTAAGCAAATGCTAAGACATTTCCAAGACAGTTTTTCCCTATTTTTCTCGCCGCAAGACATTGCTCACTTGTTTACGATACCCGATTCATGATGTGAGGTCCATGTAGGGACACCAAGCCGCAGTGCCCCGTGGCATGGTGGCTGAACCTCTCGCTTCACACAGCGAGGGTCTGGGTACCTGGGTGTTAGTGGACTGGTGTGGGTCGCATCCTGGGACAACATTGACCTATTGTGCCCGAAATGCTCAGCATAACAAGCGGCTTTCCATATAGTAGTGTGTCATTGTTGTCAGCTAGGACTGTATACCTTGTACATGTACGTGTAATAAATAAATATTATTATATTATTAAGGTCTCGTGACAGAGATCTGAGGAATAACCCAAAACGGTGCTGTTCACAGGATATAACACCGAACATACATTAAAAATTTACTTTAATCCAGTCCCTATTTAAGGTATTAAAATATTCTGCATTAATAATGTACAGGTTACATGCAGTCTTAAGGGACACATCAGTTCCCCTGTCTTCTAACAGTATATTATTTTTTCCCCTATAATCCATTTTGTCCATAATTACTATCGCATTTGCTTTCTCTGCTTTCGTAAGGTGAAGTCCAGGATCTTTCCTTAATTCAGGGTATAACTTAACAAAACTCAGACCTCTGCAACAACACTGTTCTCAAAAAAAAATTTAAGGTATACCATGAATTAAGGATCCCAGACTTCACCTTACGAAAGCAGACGAAGCGAATGCGATAGTAATTATAGACAAGGTAGATTATAGGGGAAAAATAAACATGTTATTAGGAGACAGGTAACCTCAAGCGCCACTTAATGACTCTCATGTAGTTAGTAGGCTTTGATCCCCTATAAAGTATTTGAACTACTATATTGGGTTTTCATTCTTCTTCCTGAGAGTATTTCCTACTGTCTGTCATTCTCTACTTCCGTGATTTGACGTCTGAGGCAATGGTCAGAAGAAAAACTGAGGGAAAAAAAAAAAACGAGGGAAACGTGGTAAACCCCTATGGATTTCAGGGGTTCATTGTTTCATGTAAAATATAAAGATTTCGTGAACGTTTCCTTTCATAATGGAATTTACGGTCTGAATCCGACCAAAATCGCAATTCACTATATTTTCCGGTCTTTCGATTGGATCAAAGAATCAGTCAATAAAACCTTAAAAACCATCCTAAAAAAACGCTTTAAAGTTATTTATTTGGATGAATATCATAATATTAATATTGAAGACAAACCATCAATTTAGCTTTATCTAGCATTTTATTAATATTATCTTGTTGCAGTCAAGAGAATATTTACGCATTTATCCAAAGAACTCAAAGGCCGCTTTTCTGGAGCAAACAAAGCAAGCAAACATGCAAACAATCTCAACTCTGGACAAGGAAAGTTAATTTTAAGGATAAACTTTGTGTTTGTTTGTTTATGTTTCATGATGTGTTTGTCACCCTCCCTAGTGTGTACTTAAGAGGATGTGTTACTTATTTCGTGTTAGGACGTTCACAAGAATATTAGCGTGTACTAACATAGAGTAAAAATACAGAAAACCATTGTATTCCACCACACACACACACACACACACACACACACACACACACACACACACACACACACACACATACATACACACACATACACACACACACACACACACGACCAGTTAAGAAACAGGGCCATGACCCGAAACTCATCCCCTGAAACTAAACAGGTAAGTACACATTTATATTTTTAGTCTCAGTTGTGCTTCTCCTACCACTACTTTCACTTCCCCTCCTTCCTTCCCTCCTTCCCTTCCTCCCATTCTACCCAAACCACTTTTTATAAATCTTCCCATCTGACATCTTTTCCCATCCTACCTAAAGTGATATTTTACATTTTTTTTTCTCAACAGAGGCCAGTCCTTACACCAGACAGTGAGGCAGAGACACGAGTACCAACATAACGGGAATAAAGAAAGTGATTATAGAATACAAATGTAGACAAAATCGTAACCGAAACAATGAACTAATAAAATAATTGTTGAGGAACAACCGAATATCTTAATTCTCATACATACTAAACTCTATGGTATAATAACTATTACACTATTCCCTGAAGGATATCTCACAGTGAGAATAGAAAGAGAGAACGGTGGAGGAGGTGTATCATTAATAGAAAGAAAACATTATGAGATCTAGAATGGTGAACCTAAAATTGAGCGAGTTCTGTGATTATAAAGCAATAGAGTTAAGAACCTAGGGATCCATGGGAACACTAGCAGTGGTATACATCACAGATTTTCTTTAAATAACTGGATATTGAGATAGAAGAGTAAACAACAGCGCATTACCATGCATCCTAGAGAAAACCTTATCAAGTAGGAAATAACGAGTTATGGTTACTGGTCATACGAGATTTCGATCACAAGGAAATAGACTGTGACTCTGAGAATTGAAATCCTCTCAAACCAAACTTAGTAATTTAACCTATTCTTGCTAAAATTAAATTGGCGTAAGTCAGTTTAATTCATCCCATCCTATTTTAGGAACGGAAGACTTTAGATAAAAGCTTTTAACACCATTAACATATATCGTGATGCTCACACAGATTATATCGTGGAGTTAATGTAACAGTCCATTTACACTTGGCTTCTTTGTCAAAATGACCATTGCTTTATTAGCCAAGCCGCAAGCTTTGTCTGGAAGGTCGAAATATATACCTAGACAATTAACCTCCAATAAAACGTAATATTTGGGACTGTTCCTAAGGTGATTTATAACAGTGTTGGAGACGAGAAAGGTGGATGCTTCTATTGTGGCTGTCATGGTGACCTCTCCTGTCACCTGGAACATAAAGACAGGTGATTGTCAAACCTTGGAGTATTAATCTGTCATCCATCCATCGCTTATTCCTGAATCCAGTGTCTAAAAAAAATGTTAGTTTGTATTTCTATTTACATATGGAGGATCGTTTGTTTTTACATGAGATGATAACATATTTACATGTTAGAGAGAGAGAGCGGGGAGAGGGAAGTAGAGACAGACAGAGACAGAGAGAATGAGAATTACTTCCATTACCACGGGCCCACAACACACTCCGCCCCACAAAATATATAATGGCCTGACGCCTGTGATCTCAATAAAGATATTCGACTCTTCAAAGGGAACCATCACCCTTGCCTCCCACCTCGGCCCATCTTTTATGATATTATTCACATCTCGCGGCATTTTACGGATGCTGCAGCTAACATTTCCCCCACAAAGGAGTAGCTGGCCGCCCTTCCCTGCCTTATTGGTTTCCCGAAGAATTCCTCTAAGAATTCCTCAGAATTTCTCAGAATTCCTTACTCCGTGGCATCTCTATCTGGCTTACCTTATCTAGAATTTATAATGTATAAAAAAAGTATTTTTCTTTCTAATTACTAACTATTACCGTTAGTATTAAGTGTCAGCGTAAGGAACACAAGAATTTTTTTTAATTCCAGTCAGCTTATGAGTGTTGAAAAATACCTCACATGATGCTGTCATGTTCGTCATTTATTTGATAATCATATCCTCGAGGTCATGTCGTTAAGGTCACTTCTTTAATATTGTCATATCACTGTTGCAAACTAGTTCAGTCCTCTGAATTTCTGGAACCTCTTTTACGATGTTTTACGATGTTTTCACTCTGTGATACTTGATTATCTGGTTTCTCTCATTCTTGATACCTGTCATATATTATTAGCGGCTAGTTTATTCTTATTTTACGATCAATATTATCTTTCTTAACTCAGCTTCTAATTGGATGCTTAACTCTCACTTGTAA